CAAGACAGTTGGGGAAGTATCTGTACACTGCATTTGAATCAAGATATAATTTCCTTAAATGATAGTTAAGTAGACATCCTTGTAAATTGGTTTTATATTCTGGTCTTGCTTAGTATTTTGTATTTGTTTGTACAGATGTTTTTATGAAATGTATTGTTTTAACGTAATTGGTGTATTTAGTGTAATGTCTCTTGTTATGTACATGTATTGATTAATTGTAATTTTAAAACTGTATTGCTGTAGCCCAAGGTGGCCAAAAGCAAAGAAATAAAGTTCAAGTTCAAGTTCATTACTATGACAGCTATTATGCTACATTGAGTATGCTACAATTTACCCTGCTTGGAATTCTCACAGTAGAATTATGGGGACACATCTCTTTGGTTCTGTTACTGACTTTTGCACCCTCTTTCTTTTTAAGAATGCCCAGAATTCATGTACTAGATTTCCATTCTTTTTAAACAAGTTACACAATTTGTTGAAACTTAAGAGGGAATGCTCGCAAAGTTTAAAGTTTTTTTTTTTCTCAAGACGACAGTTGATACATGTACTACGTAACATACACTTTATGTCACACTTGGCCATGTTGGGTTTTGTTCTAAGTACTAAATGTTGGCAATAAATATATCCCAATGTATTTATGAGTGTATTTAGGGCTGTGTACATAGGAGAATTACAAGAACTGGTACTGTACGGAAACAAGCCTGGCCACCTATTTGTAAGCTACACATGTAGCCACCTGTTGGAGTGGCAAATTTCTGAATTGACCAAATTGGCTAAATAATACACAAGGAAAAAGTTGCTTAAGCAACTGGACAGATTTTGAAAACTGTCAGACGTTGCTTTAAGGCTGAAAGCTACCTGTAACGGAAGAAATTTACAGGTACAGGCACAGTGTACTGGTACACAGCCCTAATAACTGGAATAAATCGTACATCTTAAATACCCCTCCTACATGTCACAGTGAATCTTAAAGATGAGAACTACATGTGGAACTCTGGAGTTGTGGAAGACCAGCTTTCGTCACAACTCATGGTCGTGATGGTGTCTTTGAGACTCTAGAGAAGAAGGAAGAAAATAAACATAAATATCTTACTTCACTTCATGTAACACGGTTCCATTTCCAAATGTTACAATCACTATATATTGCACTGCATCAGCTAACAATATTAAACCAATCTAGTGGTGGATAGTAAACAATGTACACCAGTTGCAAAGTACTTGTTTGAATATTGGTAGAAAACAACAATGAAAAATTCACCAGAAGACTTTGTTATTCAAGGCTATCCTTAATTCAGAAAATTATCAAAAGAAGAAAAAAAGTACTGACAATTATACGATTTATGAGACCAATGAACATTAAGAAGAGAATAGTGGAAAATTATGCTAAGATTATTTCATAAAACAGGTGTCAAAAAGCCTACCTTGTTGTTGTAATGTTTCTTCCTTAGGTTGTGAAGTTGTTTCTCCGTTTGATAATCTCTGCTGTAGAGTTTTTATCTCGTTATCGTAGTCTGTCCACTCTGGAACTATTCTCACCGCTGCCTCCAGCTTTGGTTCTTTTGTCAGAGGGTTATTGCACTGGAACATATGGCAAAAGAGTAATGGTCAGCGCAATATCACAGTTTGACAGTTCTGTAACAAATGTAAATTTCTATTGTGGATTCTTCACATGCAAGTCTAACCCCAGAGTATGAGTATTTGTAACAGTAACAAGGTAATAGTAACTAGTTTACCTAACATTTCAACATAAAATATTAATTTAAAAGTGGAAACTATTTTGGAATGTTTTGTAAATATTCTGTAGTACATATTCAATGTTTAGAACTGCAATGCTTTTGAATATAATAGTAACAACTTTGGCTGTGGCCCTGGAGGAATTGTTAAACAAGTACATCTTTATCCACAATTACACATACATTTTGTACTCTTACTTAAGGAAAGTTCAGATCTACTAATCAATCGAATCCTCACCAGGTCGATAGTTTTTGCGGTTGCTTTCGAGGCATCGTCACACCACGTCTCACACCAGAGCCACTCCTGAGGCAGGGACTTAATTGCCACCTGGTGGATCATGTTGTTGGGGAGGTCCTGGGGGAGGAACAGAAATCAGATCAGTAAACCTATAATTGCAAGAAATTACAGAGTTTATTGTACAGCCAGAATCTCTTTTATCATACTAGACTACAGTGCCAAATTTCCTCACTACAGAGCACATTTGCCTCAGCTAAAAGCATACCTAGCACTAAAATAAATTGTATAAGAAGGTTCCGTATTTAACAATCAGCAGGGTTTGCCATCCAACATTTTGGTGGCCACCTGTCATCTTCCTCAGGGCAATAATGACTGGTTCTGATTCCTACTACTGCAGCTAGGTGTCACAGCTATGAGACTACAAATGTGTCCCTACCTGACGTCCAACCCTTGCATGACGGGGAACAACGGACATTAAGCCGTGCAGTGAGTGAGTGTGAGTGACCTGATCTAAGTTAAACAGACTGTTGGGTCTCTGGCTCAGACCCTGGTACTGTTTGATCAACCTTACAGTCAGCAGAAAACATGGCTAGGGACTAGGCTACCTTACAGAGCACTTGGGCAGGTAGACAATGAAATTCCCCAACCTGGTCTAAGTTAGACAGACTGTTGGGGTCCTGGCTCAGTCCCTGGTACTGTCTGATCGAGCTTACAAGCAGCAGAAGACATGACTACAGACTGTGCTACAATGAAAACCTCTCTACCTGATCGAGGTTAGAGAGACTGTTGGGGTCCTGACTCAGTCCCTGGTACTGTCCTCGGAGCCGGTCGCCCGCGGCGATGCGTCGGAACTTCTTCAGGTCGACGACGTACAGCGCGCTGATGTGGTACTTCCTGCCGCCAAGGTGGCTCGCCCAGTAACCCGACTTCCAGAACCTGGGGGGAGACATGAATGAGGGTTAAGAGAGCACGTCGGCAGAACGTACTGCACCTGCGCGAAACCCGTTATGTATTGTGCATAGCATTTCGGCAGAATGTCTCATATAAGGTTGTATTCGCTCATAAAAGGTTAGCATTTCGACAGTAGTTTCCAAATGTTATGTCGGAAAGGATATCCTCTGCAACAGGAAAAATTCTGATGCAACGGTGACCAAAAACCCAACGCAAAACGCGAAAATACGGGGTTCTGCGCAGGCGCAGTACGTTCTGCCGACGTGCTGGTTAAGAGTACCCTGACTTGACTATGTGGATGAGATCATCATCTGTTTCCAGACAAAAAGTGACACGGATCATACTGTAAATCCTGTAGATCCTGTATAAGGTACAGAGTTAAAAACTGCAGAGTTAGCAATTACATGCCATAAATTGCATACAAAAATATTGCAAAATTGATGTAGTGTCATAGATTGCCCTTTTTTCCTAGGACACTTTTTTGTTTCAGTACAACTAGGCTGCAGGCTGAAAAAAGTCTTCCAAAGTCAAAGAAGAAAATATAAAAAGAACAAAAGAAAATGTTTTGTATACATACCATGTTGTGTGTGTTAAGTCATTTGTTCAACATTCCTGACAACTTAGATTTAATAATGAAGGCAATATTTTAACCCACCTGAACCCGTTCATCTCCTTCCTGCTATCACAGAAGGGTGTGTAACCATAGGGAGCCCCGCCCAGGTCCAGGTCACGTAACTCCTTAATGTCTGTACGAACAATCTGGGGGGAAAATTCATATACATGTGAGAAATGAGGTCTGATACAGGCAAATAGGTTGGTAAGACATTCATTTAGTGTTCATTCCTTACACTGGAAAGAAATTTTTAAAAATGATCATATTACAAAGTACTAAAATACATTAATTGTAATGGAAAAAAATTGTGTTGCTCTACAATAGATATGGATATCCTGTAAGAAGCCTGGATTTTTCACAATGCTAAAAACAAAACACAAGAAAGGCAAATAAGAATCTTTACAGATACAGACAGATATAGAGGTAAAGAGATAAATAGGTAAGCTAACCTGATCTGCATCGACGAAGATGATTTTCTTGACGCTGAGGGGAAACAGTACGTCCAGAAACAGGATCTTGTATCCCCAGATGATGCGCTGTTTCTCAGTCTGCTGGTGAAGCCAGCGAGGCCACTTGTACTGAACCAGCTCGTACTGAAAACCATACTCCTTAGCCATGTGGGGCAGGAAGTCCTGGAATATCCCAAAAAGTACACAGGAACATTAGCAAAAGCAGGGATGGCAGACTTCGCCCAGTCTCTGTCTGCTGGTGCAGCCAGCGAGGCCACTTGTACTGGACCAGCTCATACTGGAACCCATACTCCTTAGCCATGTGGGGCAGGAAGTCCTGAAAAGTCACAGGTAAAAATACAGGAGTTAGGACACTGTTATGAAACAATCAGAGATGGCAGACTTCGCCCCTTTCTCTGTTTGCTGAAGCAGCCAGCGAGGCCACTTGTACTGGACCAGCTCATACTGGAAACCATACTCCTTAGCCATGTGGGGCAGGAAATCCTGTAATGTCACATAAAAAACACAGGAGTTAGGACACTGTTATGAAACAATCAGAGATGGCAGACTTCGCCCCTTTCTCAGTTTGCTGGTGAAGCCAGCGGGGCCACTTGTACTGGACCAGCTCATACTGGAAACCATACTCTTTAGCCATGTGGGGAAGGAAATCCTGGAATGTTGCATACAATTATACAGGGATTAGCACAATCAGACATTGCAGACTGCCCATTCTCTGGTGCAGCCAGCATGACCACTAGTACTGAAAACCTTGCAATTTTTCAGCCAACATCGTCAGCAAACTGTACTCATTAAATTGTATTGCTCTACTTAGTAATTCTGACTGCACTGAGAAAGGAGTATAAGGCACAAAAGCTTTTGCCTTCAGTGCAAAATATAATGTAGACTCAGAATTCTGACCTGACATCTAACTTTTTAGCACTAAAAAACACACGATGGGAAAGGAGAGGTATGGGAATTAAAGAATATTATTTTGCCAGTTTACCTTGACTGCAGGAGAGAGGTAGTTCTTCAGGAACCAGAACTTGACAGGAGTCTTGGTGTGTTTCAGAACACTCAGCATCATGATTCTGGGGGAACACAACATCAGTCAACAACCAACAGGACTGTGTATTCAGTACCAAGGACAGTACTCATGCTGAGAAGATGTCATAAGAAAAGTATCTATTTTCATCAAACTATCACACAGGAATTTTTAACAATAAATCTCTAGGTACCAAGTTAAGATTGTTGTTTATAAACACAGGACTGTGCATTCAGTACCAAGAACAGGTATCATAGTGACAAGTAGCAAGAAATGCAGTGGTCGAAATACTTTTTTTCAGTACTCTGCAATATTGCAGAAGAGTCAAAATTTTGTTCTGCAATTTGGAAATATTTTCTGCAAATACACAAGCCTCCATATTACAACCTTTCTGCAAATACACAAGCCTCCATACTACAACCTTCTCAAAACAGTAATTCCTTTTTACATCATATATAGCTTTGTAAATCTGTACAGTAGCATTACTAGACTGCAGGAGAATTTCAGGTTTATAAGCATGAACTATGGATTGATATGCAAATTAGTGAAGACAATTTTTTGGAAGTCCAAAAGGAACAAAAGATAGACAAGTGAAGACAAGGATGAATGCAAATTAGTGAAGAAGCTCCTGTTGTTTCAGAACAGTCTGTCCCTGGGGCCTGGAAGTTTTAGTTTGCTAAATTGAAAGCTAATGAATTTGGAGCCTATTTTTCCTTCTGCAAAATTGCAGATTGTATAATTTTTTCTTCTGCAATCTTGAAAATCTATCTGCAGATTGCAGACTGCAGGCAGGTATTTCGAACACTGAAATGTGTTACTATGGTCAAACTAGCATACAAGAGTCAACTGAATCTTTATTTATCAAATCAAGATTGTTGTTTTAACAGGAGACTGTGCATTCAGTACCAAGGACAGTGTTCATGGTGAAAATAGGCTAAAAGTGATATGTCCACTTTTGTTTAACTATCACTTAGGAATCTTTTAGTTGCTAAGTGTGAAATTGCTTTTAACAAAGGACAGTTCATATTCAGCACCAAGGACAGTTCTCGAAGTAAAATGAAGCAAAAACTTTTAAGAAGAGGGTATCTAGAGTCCAGGACTGAGGTTCACATAGTTATGTAAAGAATCCCAGTTTTGTATTTGCTAATGGCCTGTGCATTCAGCACCAAGGACAGAGCTCAGACATGGTAAAGGAGAAAAGGAAAGTGAAATAAAATAAAAATAAAAGACAGGTGTTTTCTTACCTGAGCAGCCTCTCATACAGGTGACCAGAGGCAACAGAGAAGATGTTGATGACGTCCTCCTCATCTGAGTCATCAGTTGTCTTCTTACCTCCTCCTGTCAAACTGGGGACAACAACAAGGACATTACAAGGGAAGAATAGCTTGCTAAATTCAGTTTCTAAAAAGTGCATCACAACAAATGCAAATCAATAACTTCTGTGCAATTTTCTGAAAAGCAATTCTAGCGTTTTCCTTAAAATGGTTATGGATGGCACAATCAGCACCAAGGAAAGGATAAGCGCAAGTACTAAGTGCTGTATGTGTATTTTACCAAACAATATGAGTAATATTAAGGTTCACAATAGACATCTATAAAATTTCTGTAGGATGATTGTTATCCAACATTCTACTGTTATTTTTGTGTGTGTATGTGTGTGTGTGGGGGGGGGGGGCTTGTGAAGGCACCTGTTTGCAGTATGCACTTGTTTTGACCTCCTTTTAATGTTGTGATAAACACAAACAAAAAAGAGTTCACTTTACAACAGACAGCTGTACCTTGATATGGAGTCCCAGATCCCTCCCCCACTCTCTCCCTCGTCTGACAGCAGATCCTCCTGTAGCTTGTCTGGTTTCTTGTTCACCTGCAGACAAGAAAGATTATGTTCTGAGGGGCTGCTGGTAGGAATCAAGTTTTACCAGTACTAATCACAAAAATAAATCTAATTTGTATCAACATTTAACTACCGAAAAATAAGGGGATATGCTATTATTGCCACAAAACATTGCCTTTTTAAAAATGCTACAACTTAAACATGTTTTTTTCTTTAACCTCGCATAAGAGGATGTCCTCCAAAACAGTAAGACAGTGCAGTTTGAATACTAAAGTTTAGTTTAGTTTAGTTCTGGTTTAGTTTTCCTTTAATACCCATGACCATGATAATGATCATTCTGGCACAGTGTCACTCATTTTCACCTGAGCAAAGTGAAGAAAGTCGTGTTAAGTGCCTTTCCCAAGAGCACAAGGTTGGACTTAAACCCGGGACCTCTTGGTTCTGAGCTGAAGGCTTTGTCATTACACCACACAACTGCATTGAAAGAAGCATAAAATCCAAAACAGAAGAAGCAATCTGACCTTGATCTTGATAATCTTGCTCTTGAAGCTGTCCATGATGACGGTGACGTCCTCAGACCCGGCCGGGGTGTCGGTGCCGTCGTGACTCGTGATCTGGTAGATCTCCTCTGACCGCCCTGCACGCATGCGCAGCAGCCACGCACCAGGGTTAGCCTTCAGCTGGAAGTAACCCTGAGGAAAGACAAGCAAGCAATATATACTCTTTGGTCTAGCTGGCCAGTTCAAAGATAAAGAAACCCTAAAGAAAGAATTTCTTATAAAATATTTCCTCCAACCGTCCTGCACGCATGCGCAGTAGCCACGCACCAGGGTTTGCCTTCAACTGGAAATAACCCTACAGAAATGCAAGAATCTTCAGATAGTATTTTCCTTGTCCTAACTCAACACTTTGAAGGCTAGAGATTAAGAAATGATAATGACTAAGCATAAACTTTTTCCCTTTTTTTGACTTCTTTTTAGGAAAACTCAGGTTTGCTTCAGGATTTTTATCAACCAAGAATATCTTTCTCTTTTTTTATTTTAGAAAACTTATGCTACTGGTACTTTTCTTTTCAGGAAAATCTGCTCCAGAAAATTTCTGGAAAGTTTGCCTTCAATTACATATACATGTGCCTTGAGAGGATACTGCGATGCCACCTAACCACAAACTGACCCATGGCACAAAATCCATGGTCTCTCCAGACTGAAGGATGCCAACAACATTTGCAGAATCTTGTAGAAAAGAAAAACAAAAGAACAACAAGAATGTAAGACCTACCAGGTTTGCCATAACAATAGTGTCCACCATGACAGGAGTGTTGTGAGTCCCCAGGGTGAACTGTAGACCTCGCGGGGGCTGGCCGGACATCGCATCATAGCAGTGACCTGGTACAGCATGAGGTTGAAAAATGATGTTGAAACAAGAAATAAAAAAGAAGTAAACTATTTCTCAAATGTAAAATAGAAAAAGACTGAACAAATTTTGGCTGACGCTAAAAAATTAAATTGAGAAAACACAGACCATTGAATGCAGCCAAAGTAACAGTAACAGCACTGTTCATTTATTTTTAAAACTGGACAATTGGAGTTTGTAATTTGGAAAGAAACTGAAAATTCAAAAATCTACCATAATCGTACAAAATAATACAAGTACATTGTCGCTGCGATGATAAATATACCAAAATAGAGTCAAACATGTTCTCTCAATATCATAGTAAAAATTTTATTTTCAATTCAGGAAGAAGTAAAAATATTGCTTCTGTATAAAAAGTGAGAACTCAAGTAAGTTTGACAGACCTTCCAACAGTAGATACTCCAGCTCATACTCAGCGTTGATGGTAGTCCCAGGCACCACGTCTTCTAACCTGATGTTATCCAGATCATACGGGGTCCTGACCGACTCAATCAGCCAGCTCTCCGGTGGCTTCATGTTTAATGTGAACAGGGTACTGTCTGGCATGTCTACAAACTTGGCACTGGGACCTGGGCTGAAACTGGGGGGAAGAAATGTATGTTAGATAGATAGATAGATTTCAGTGTACATGTACATTCACTCCCTAGAAGGTTGGAGATGAATGACAGATGGAAAAATAGAAAACTACAGAGGTTCCAGCTCCAGCATCTGTAGAGAAGAGAGAGAGGGAGGGAGAGAGAGTGAGAGAGAGAGAGAGAGAGAGAGAAGGAGAGAGGAGGAGGGAGGTATCCAGATCATACGGGGTCCTGACCGACTCGATCAGCCAGCTCTCCGGTGGCTTCATGTTTAATGTGAACAGGGTGCTGTCCGGCATGTCTACAAACTTGGCACTCGGACCTGGACTGAAACTGGGGGGAAGAAATGTGTGTTAGTTAGATAGATAGCTTTCATTGTACATGTACATTCATTCCCTAGAAGGTTGGAGAGGAATGACAAATGGAAAAATAGAAAACTACAGAGGTTCCAGCTCCAGTATCTGTAGAGAAGAGAGGGAGGGAGGGAGAGAGAGAAAAGAGGGAGAGAGAGAGGGAGAGAGAGAGAAGAGAGAGAGAGGAGGGGGATGTTATCCAGATCGTACGGAGTCCTGACCGACTCAATCAGCCAGCTCTCCGGCGGTTTCATGTTTAATGTGAACAGGGTACTGTCTGGCATGTCTACAAACTTGGCACTGGGACCTGGACTGAAACTGGGAGAAAGAAATGTATGTTAGATAGATAGATAGCTTTCAGTGTACATGTACATTCATTCCCTTCAATGTTTGAGAGGAATGACAGATGGAAAAATAGAAAACTACAGACTGAGGTTCCAGCTCCAGTATCTGTAGAGAAGAGAGAGAGTGAGAGAGAGAGAGAGAGAGAGAGAGAGAGAGAGAGAGAGAGAGAGAGAGAGAGAGAGAGAGAGAGAGAGAGAGAGAGAGAGAGAGAGAGAGGATGGGGGGTGTTATCCAAATCATACGGGGTCCGAACCGACTCTACAAACTTGGCACTGCATGGGGCCTGGGCTGAAACTACAGAGAATATGTGAAGAATTAGATATCTTTGAAAATGCTTACAGTTAGATTTGAAAACAAAAGGTTAGATGTAACAAGTCTTTTGGCATAATGTAGCCAGCTGCCGCCACACCATATGCCTGCATAGCTGCTGAGTTACGCCAAAATGGCAGACATACAGGCTATACACCCAGATACATGCTTTGTTACATGACTTGTACATACAGCATGCATTCTAGGATATACTTACAGCAAAAGCTGACTGATTCTGGGAAATATTCCCGGGATGTCTTCTTTTGAGGAGAACCTTGCATTTAGAGGGAGGGGTAGAAAGAAGACAGGGAAGAAAGGATGGCAAGAAAAGAAGCTTTTTTTATTCTTCACCTTGTACATTTGTATTGACCATGAAGCCCAGTTTCAGTACATATCTGTAGAAGTTGTTCAGATGGAGAGAAGGAGAGAGAGACATACAGAAGGGAAGGAGAAAGGATAGACTGAGTGAAAGAGAGAGGGGGAGAACCTAATGCTTCTCACCTTGTGTTGAACATGAATCCCATTTCCAGCAAATACAATGTATCTATAGAAACTCTTTAGATGGAGGGAAGGAAAGAGAGATAGATGAATGGAGAGAGAGAGGGAAAGGGATAGAATTTTCCTCACCTAGTGTTGACCATGAATCCCACCTCTGGCTCTAGCACATATCTGTTAAAACTCTTCAGATAAAGGGAAGGAAAGAGAGACAAACAGAAGGGAAGAGGAAAGGATGGAAAGGAAAAGAGAGAGGGAGAAAATGTTCCTCACCTAGTGTTGACCATGAAGCCCACCTCCGGTTCCAGCACATATCTGTAGAAGCTCTTGAGCGGCATCTCTGAAAGTTTGTCCCGAGAGTTCATGAACACCTTCAGGTTAGCATTCACCACCTGCTGCAGGACCTGGGGAGAAAAATACACAACATTTGCTTAAATCTTTTAATCCAAGCTTCATATCATCAGATTTTCAAACTTCAAACATATCTTTGAAATGTTGCAGCAATATACACAAACTTTTAACCCAAGCTTAACATTATGAGGTTTTAAAACTTCACGCATATGTTTGAATGTACATTGATGAAGATTAGACATACAGGCAAACAATTTTCAGACAATTCTAACTCTACTACTGAATAAACTACAGAAATTACTTCTGGACATTTCAAATGACATTTGTCACTCTTCTTCAGTGTTACTAGAATTGAATTGCTACTAGTAGTAGTAGTAGGCAGCGACTAATACCTCCAAACACTGGCAAGAATTAAAAAGCAAAATTGGGTTGGTTGACACAGAATCAAAATATTTCAAACACTGTTCCTCTTTAAACTGTAGAACTTGAAGAACTCACTATCAGGTTTAGTAGTATGTAGTAGTATGTATGCAGTATGTAGTAGTATGTATGCAGTATGTAGTAGTATGTATGCAGTATGTAGTAGTATGTATGCAGTAGTATGCAAGACTTCAGTGTGACAAGTGCATAACCAGCTTCAGCTACTAATTGGCTAATGTAAGGTAACATCAAACTGTTTTGCCTGAGATTGACACCTACGATAAGAATAGGAGCCAGTCTCTGTGCATCTCTAGTTGTTGGATCCACCACAGCTATGATGTCAAACGCAGCCTCATTGGGGTCACCAGGGATCTTCACAGCACTGAAAAACAAACAAAAGAAGATTTTATACATGTAGATGAGTCAAGGAAAGAAAATATCAGTTAGTACATGTACATGTACTTCCAGATAAATAAGAAAATAGACCAAGTCTTACAAGTAAAACATGGGAATAAACCTACAATTAATATTTTCCATTGCGTTTCCCTCAAAGGTAGCTAGTCTACAGTTTGGTTAATCCTATTATCTTTATTTGTAAGATAACTTCTTCATGAAGCAAGATGTATAGTACATGTACTGTAAAGGATGAAGTACTACTAGTAATCTGCATAATGTGAGGGAAAGAGAGCCCCCTACCTGTGTTGGTCAGAACTGTAGGTGACCTCCCTTCTGGAGTCTGACCTCTGGTTGGCCATGAGCAGACCTGAAGCCTTCATTACAAGGTCATTCAGCCTAGAAAGGAAAAAAAATTGATGACAATAACAGGTCTGGGAGAGAAGGGAAAAAGTTGAGATGATAACAGGTGACAAGGCATAGCACACTTTTCTAGTCTGATGTAGATTTAAACTTTTAAAGATACTTCTATACACAGTAGTGTACATGTATACATGTACAAATGTAAGTCAAGTCCAGCTCAATGTGTAACTTACCCATCATTCTTCAGTTTGAGCTCCATGTCTTTAATCTGCAAAAAAAGGCAAAAAAAAAAGTCAGCATAAATCTTCTTCTAAATTCTTTAAAAACTATATATAAAACTAATCAACACTGGCATAAAACATAAGGCCACATAATCTACATGTACTAAATACTAAATAATGTGTGAATATAGTCAGAATCAAGTTTTCCTTCCGGCCTAACATTTTGCAAACATTTTAGATAAAATGTCCAAGAAGCAAGACTAGTGTATCATTTGTTGAGGCGTAAAACAAGTCATTTAAACTTCTCACTGCCGCCTAACCTCCAGTAAACAGTAGATAATTGGGAACAAAACGGCTACTTACATGTACTAAAGGCTAAGACATGTAGAAAATATAAGTTACCTTCTGAGCGACGTTGTCAGCTGCCAGACTCTTGACAAACTTCTCCAGCAGACCAAAGTCATCAGGGTCAAAGGTCTCAGAAGGATCCAGTGGACCAATAATCTGTGGAGGGGCAAACAAGTTTTTTTTTTATTTTTGCTCCCATACTGATATGTATATGACAGTAAATATCTGGAGGACAGAAAATCAGAACATCATTCAAAGCGATATCAAGATACATTCAAAATTTGTACACTGCAAATTCAAAAGCTGTCGGTAAAAGTAAAAGACCAGTCCTGACTTGAGGGGGGCAAATGCCATTTTCTCACCAAGTTCTTGCAAACTTTTCACGCCACTTTACTACCCTGTCTTCATGCACAACTAGAGCTCAGATTTTGTTGACGTTGTGTCTTACGCTTTTCTTTTAGTATTTCATAACTTACCATCCCATTGGCCACAATGGCCCTCTGTCCAGGCTTGACCTTTAGTGTGTTCTTCACAAACGTCCAGTGAGAGGTCAGCAGGCCTGTCTGCTTCTTCTGCTCCTTCTTCAGGGCTGCCTCAAACTTAGCCGTGTCCATACCCTGGGGTGTAAGACAGGCAGTCTTAGAAAGATATGACTCAAAGTTGTTTGTCTCTGAGTTAGGCCACACAAAAGTGATTACAAGTTTATTGGTGACACTCTTGAAGACTAGCCGACTACTACTGACCCCTTTGTCAGGGACACCAGCAGCAGTATAATAAAAGCCCAGATAGTGAGTGAGTGAGTGAGTGAGTGAGTGAGTGAGTGAGTGAGTGAGTGAGTGAGTGAGTGAGTGAGTGAGTGAGTGAGTGAGTGAGTGAGTGAGTGAGTGAGTGAGTGAGTGAGTGAGCGAGCGAGTGAAAGGTTATAATTGTCAGTAAAATTCTCATTGTCCATTCAAATATAAATTAACAAATATAAAATTAAACCTACGTTAACGTAGAGTTCTGCCAGTTTGCCCCCCTGCACCAGTGGCACATTCTCCTCCTTAGCCAGTTTGGTGATGAAGTTTTTGGCCAGAGTCATGGTCTGTGTGTCCAGAGCAGTCTGGGCAGCGCGGGCGAAGGTCTGGCTCCCGTCCTGGGGCGGGCTGCTCGGGTTGTGGAGAACACCGATCCTCACTGTGTTACTGGATTTCTGGAAAACAGAATGAATCATAGAACATATGGCAACTTTTTCAAAGGTATGGTTTTTAAACAATATAAATCATTTAAACTTTATCATAATGGCAACATTTTCAAATGTATCTGAAGCAAAAAAAATTATGGTAGATGACAAAAGAGTTGCAGAAATGTTGGGACTTAGCAAAGGACAAATATTGAAAACTTTGTAGATAGCAGAACAGAAATTCTACTGTCTAACATTAAATCTTACAAACTTAGGAGAATGTCAAAAAATAAATTATGGTAGTGAAACTCTAGTCATTCTAGTAAAGAAGTGTGATAGATGCTGAAGAAGAGATATAGATTTCACTTGATACTTCATCCAGTGGTAAAGTTTGAATTATCTATATCTTTGTGTTATAATAGTTTGTAAATAGGCAGTTTTACCATGTGTTTGATGGCATCATACAGAAGTTGTCTCCCCTCTGTGGACTCCATGTCACACACCACCCACATGGTCACTGGGCGGGTTACAGACTCATCTGGAACACAACAGCATCATGTTAGTGTCCCAAGTATGCAAATGATCCAAAAACACCACCAACATAGCTAGGGGATGGGTGATGAGCATCATTATAGTGTCCCAAGTATGCAAATGAACCAACAGCACCACCAACATAGCTACAGGACGGGTGATAAGCATTGGTATAATGTCCCATATATGCAGATGAACCAAAAGTGCCATCCATACTTATCTGCAACAGATGGGAATCAAGTTAGTTTCTCAAAAATGCCACAGACTTTTTTTTTGCAAGAGAGGGGCACCATTTTTCTGTCACAAATATGCAAATGATGCCTAGCAGCAGTAAGCTACCTTGACTCCAACCAAAAGACTACTGCATAACTCAAATTACCATCCAATACAGTAGAGGCATCTTCATCATCGAGTACAAAACTAGTGACAAGGCGTTTGATGCTAGATAACCAGCTGCCACCATCACCCTGCGAAGCTGGTGTGTTACACCAAAGGGTGGTTAGTCTGGTACAGTACTGTGTGTAAATGCAGACAGTGCTGCATTTCTAGCCTGGGTGCCATCCAATTTGTAACGGCAACCCCGAAAAAAAGTATTTTACGTTACAAATTGGATGGGGCCCAGGCTACTGCATTTCATCAATTTTTAAACTTTTTGGAGTTTGGAGAAAAAAATAACCATCATCGAAAAATAGATTCAGGATTGGAACCATGAATCTTCCCAAAAGAAGTATTTCGATAAAGGTTAGACATTCAGGTAATAAGATACGCCATAATTTAAAAATTAGTTACTCAAGCAACTGACCATGATTTTCTAAATCATATCCAGCTGCACAACTAAATCATATCCAGTTGCTTGAGTAACTACTTTTTGGCACAAGTATTCCAAGCCCTGCACTACAGAAAAGAAACCGGTTCACAAGTCAGTAGTATGTATGACAAAGAGTTTTCCCCACCTTTCTTAGTGAGGTATTTCATGTTGTTGGCCAGAGTTGCTGCCATCTGGTTGGAGCTCAGTCTGGAGAAGGCAGCTGAATCCGCAAGGGGAGCTGGGCCTGGAAAAACAAGTAGTTAGAGTTAACAAAAACCTCAAGATATTAGCCTTATAGAGTAGATTTAATTGGTTTGATGACACAGTTGCACAGTTGGGGCATCATCACTAGAAAGCTATAAACAACTCCTGCAATTAAATGTGCAAGGATTGAGTGTAACAAGTCATTCTATGTAATATAGCCAGTTGCTGTCACACCACGTGCCTGCAAAGCTGGTGTGTTATACCGGCTATACAGATACAGAAGCTGGAGTGTTACGCCAAAGGGCGCTTATACCAGCTATACAGATACAGATACAGAAACAACTCTAACCATGCTTACAACATCTGAAAAAGAGTCCCTACCAGGCTGAGTTGTGAGGTCCAGGGTCCTCTTCTTGGTGCTAAGGACCCTGGGATTGAGGCGAGGCATGACGTTGGGTCGGTCCATCAGCCACTCCATCAGGTTCATGGAGTTAGTCAGCTCACCCTGGGGAGGAAAAATTTTCATCTGTGTTTTGATAGCTTTAAGTACAGAAGGAAAAGGAATTAAACTAGAAGTCGTTCGGTGTGATATAGCTAGCTGCCTCCGTGCCGCATGCCTGCGAAGCTGGTGTGTTACACCGAAGGGCGGTTATACCGGCTATACAGATACAGACAGATACAGATAGAAAAATAACATTTGCAAAGCAAATGCATAATTTGAACCTTCACATAGTCTAGCTTTACTTCTATTCAAACATATATCATATAGTGACATCGGTGTAAACAGCCCCTGCCACTCTGTCCTGACACTTGCTACATAATGTAACCCAACACCATAGGGTGTCTGTTACCCCAGTTACCATGGTGACATTAATACACTGACCTTATTTTTTTGGTTTCTTTGGAACAGAAGAAGAGGACAAAGAAATAAAGCAAAAGCAACTCCAAGATCCAGTGCACATCTCAAACTGCAAGAAGAATGACTTTTAGATGTATTGAATAGAAATGTTCCTTACCATGTACACAGCTCTCTGCATGTCAGGTGTGATGGTCAGGATCTTGCTGACCACTGACTCCTCAAAGTTCTCTGGAGAAATCTGCAACAAAGGTAAGGGAAAAATGAAGATCAGAAGAACAAAATGCAACTTAGCCTTGAATGTAACCACACGTTACAGCACATACAATTAAGTGGGAAAACATGTATATGTTAAGGAACTCTTCGTTTCAGAACTGACTTACAAAAGACATTAGCTGATTTGGAGTGAAACCATATATCAAAGAAAGAGAACCATGGTAACACAGTAACAGTGACTTTGTTTAGCTCAAAATAGTAAAAAAAAAATTCTGTACAAGGTTCACTACAAAAGGTCACCAACCTCTTCCTCTGTGAAGGGGACTCCGTTCATCAGGACCTGTGGCAGCGGACCCAGCCCTGTTCTCTGGTAGTACTGTTTACCTGCCTAAACAACAAACAAACAAACAAACAAACTCAAGTGAGTTAAAACACAAACCCATGGGAAGTATTGTAAACCCATGTATTAAACTTGAGTTCAAAATGTGTATTGCTCGCTAGTCAATTTTTTTAGCTATACAATTTATGCTAGAACCTTAGAAATGGCTGAAATACATGTATGATCCCTCTCCTTGGTGCTGAATTCGCCATCCATTGACTACATGTTGTTAGAGCTCACATCCATGCATCCAATCATCAAACAAATCCACAACTTCATGGGTATCTAAATTCCAAGAATCATAATAGTACATGTTCTTCATACAATATAGTATCCTTGCTACAAGTACATGTACATATACATGTATGTGTATATTGTTACAGCCACATGTATGTATACATGTAGGAGTGGAGTGGTTGCAGTCTTCTTCGATGACAAGGGACTACCAAGATGTATACATGTGGAAAGCTGTTACTTCTCTACATGTACTTATAAGAACTTCTTATTTTCCTATCATTGCCCTGACTACTTCTGTTCCAGAGCTTGAGAGTTTGAATAAATTTGATCTCACCCTTCTCTTGTCGTCATAGTCAGTATCAGCAGCGATGACATCAGCGATGTCGTCTCCCGGATATTTCCTGCGGAACTTCTCCTTGATGTGATCCAGCTCCAACAGACTGTCCTTGTTTCTGGCCAGAGTGTAGACCTACAAATATCCACAGTTGTTCATTAGTTTACAAAAAATATTACTGTATTTTACATTGTATAAGCTAATTACTAGACAATACCCTTAAATATTCTAATAACTTCTCCCTGATGTGGTCCAGCTCCAGTAGACTGTCCTTGTTTCTGGCTAGAGTGTAGACCTAGAAATCCAACAACCATAAGTAAGTTGCATTCACACATTGATTTACTCACTACAAGAAATGTCGTTAAGTCAAAAATGCTGAGACTGTCCTTGTTTCTTGCCAGACCGTACACCTACAAATATCCACTGTTGTTCATCAGTGAATGAAAAAAAACATGTCAACCTACATGACATTTTGTATAAGATAATTACTGAAGAATCTTTGATATCATCACATAATGTAACGTTACATGTTACAAGGTATTCATATAAATTTTGATATCTTGATATCATCATCACCGGAAACTTTACCTAGTAAAGCATTAAACAGATCTGTACAGCAAAACAGACTCAGTTGTTTAAAATTTGCCTGGGAAACTTGAGAACTACAAATAGTAATGTAATTAGCAGCCTTCTTAAATGTGCTCAATTGTTGAGTACTGTACTTGAAACATTTTGAAACATTTTAAGCCCCCAAAGAGAGTCACATGAAGCAAACAGTACAAAATGTTTGTTGTCACTTCTTTCCCATAGTAACCCGTGAACCCATCAGTTTTCATGCTTCATACTTACAAGAGCAGCAGTTGTTGAGTGTTGACTGAAATGGCTGGATTCCTTCATATTCATACAAACCATATTAAAGATTGTGCTTGCAAGTTGCAGTTAACCCTGGATATCGCTTTTGTATTTCTAGGAACTACACTAAGTAATGTACACGAAGTACACCAAGTCTTACAAGCAAGCTTTGAAATAGTATTCTGTCTTTATAGCTTAGTAACACAGTACAATGGCTCTTACAACTTAACATCTCTGAAAATGTCTTGAGATGGTTAAAGTCTGATTCTTGACATGTCCACTGTGCCAATGACATTGCCTGAATATGATCTATACTTACAGAGTTGAGCCAGAGGAAGGCCTTGTCACTGCCCTGGTCCTGCTGGATGAAGTTGTAGGCTCGGATCAGAGCCACGCCCACATCATCCTGACCTTCCACCTCCTTCTCATCATTCACTACAAACACCAGGCCAATCCTGCAGGGGAGTAGAAAATTATTGACTCAAAGAAGTACGTGAAAACAGAAAAATACAACCAAACTACTGTGCAAAATATAGAGCAAACGATGCCCACATTATTCTTATCATTCACTACAAACACCAGCCCAATCCTACAGGGAAGGGATAGCAATGAGGTTACATAATTGCATACTGTAAAGCTTAATACATGTATGTTGTCCTACAGTTGTGAGCCAAATCTTTTCTGAACCATGTGGTTTGGGGATCGACTCTTTGTCCAACAATTGCTATTCCAAATCTCAATTTGCATGCTACTGATAGAATGTGTCGAGCCACAAGTCTTGATGTCTAAATCAATCATTAGAGATGAACAAGTACAAGATGATCTCTAAAGAGAGACACAACTGAAGCAATGGCTTTAAATCATGGAAGAAAGGGGGTGCACCTAATTATGTGACAGCCAAAAGACTCCAAACCTTACCAGTAGTATGCATGTCAGTGGTTCAGAACCCTAGTATAGTTATCTAACTTAGTGCATTTGGCCCATGTAGGGTGTGAATATGCAATAAAGTTCATTGTCATTGTTATTGTCATTGTCATTGTCATTGTCATTGTCATTGTCATTGTCAATATCTAGGTCAGGATTTGAACAGTTTTTACCTGACTGGAGCCTGGTTCCTGTAGAACAGGTCAGCCAGTTTGACCAGCTCTCCTGCCTCCTTGGACAGAGGGTCCAGGAAAAATACCTGCAGAAAAACAGGAGAACAGTATTAAAGGCTACAGAACGTAGGCTTTCAGATAAACTTTAAGTGTTCACAGTACAAGAAAGGAGTCAGAGTCATCAAAAAAGTAATACTTAGTCTAGAGCCTTAAACAGAAATGGATCAAATACATTTCATTTCATTTCATTTCATTTCATTTCATTTCATTACATATATATTCCCTCTCCTTGGTGCTGAATTCACCATCGATAGGCTACATGTTGTCAGTGCTCACATATATCACCCAAATAAACTTACAAGTTCATGGGTAACTAAGATCCAAGACCAGATTGTGATTGTTTTATTGAGAATTATAAGCAACTTTTTGAATTGAATGAACTTTGTACTTTTAGCACTGTGACATATATTGTTGCCAATTTATTGAAGGGAGCAACATTTCTTTTATGGGGGAAGGGAGGGTGCAATGCAATGCCTAAAAGTCATCTATAAACACAGGCTTGTGTGCAGCTTCGGTAGGATTTTTTATCACAAAAGGGTTGACTTTTAAGGTTGTTTTGCCTCACCATATGGTAAATGTTCTTGCGGATGTGTCTGTTACAAAAAGCCACACAGCAGTAGTTGTGCTTTGTATGAACACAACTCATAGATCCACATACATTTGGCTTAAGTAAAACTTGGGTCTACAGCTTTATGAGATAACCATCTGTATACTCCCCATGTGGTACATGTTCTTGCGGATGTGCCTGAGCATGCCCGGGAACATGGGTCTCAGTAACTCCTGCAGGTTAGACGGCCAGCTCTTGTACTGGTAGTCTGTCTCAAGGTCGTTTATCCACTGCAAATGGAGAACTTCAAGGTCAGTATCAGTATACAAGTCATATAGATATTAAATAAATAAACTTGAAACTTGAAGATATTGAATATCCTTTTACCCAAATTCGTATGAAGGGCTTATTTTGCCATACATCATGTATTTTGTAGATTCCTTTTCAAGATAATTTACTCTTTTCAGAAAAAAATGTATTAAGCCATGTGTGTTTAGTCTAAACCCTACAGTAGGCAGCATTCTACTTGCAACTTAATGCATGTTCACAGCATTTGCACCAAGTGTGCCTCCCTAGCAGTGCTAAATTTCCATCCATATGTTTTTGAGATAGTAAGGTCTTCTCTTCAGTCTCCTGCTAAAAATCTCCCCAGTGACTTACATGTACAGCATGGTCCCTGATATCTATGGCATAGTTGTCCACCTCTGAGTCCACAGGCAGGTACAGTAGGGACTTCAGGTTGTCTTCCTGGGGGGTACAACAATGAGGGTCAATGTCTAAATTTCTTTCGTCAATTGGCAAAAACAGTGATTAATGTGTTTAATAGAATAAGAATTTCAGTCAAGTCAGTTGTTGTTGTTTCTCTTACCCTGATCCCTAGTGACCACAGTCCCTCCATCAGTTTTACCTCGTTCTTGATGGTGTCTAACAGTCTGTGAAAGAAACAGAAATTTCTTTCAAATACATGCCAATCATCTATGCAACATTGGGTAAATGTTTAATTTCTTTAACCTTGTGACCAAGACTAGGCCTCTATAACACTCTTTGGCTAGTTGGACAAGGTTGCTGTAGCTGTATCTGTAGCTGTATAGCCAGTATAAATCCCTCTTGTATGTTATACTGTAGCCAAACCATAAAGTATGAAAGAAAGAAACATAAGTTTGATAGTGTTATGCAAACTTACAGGAAAGGGTCCACAATGTCCAGGTCTATGAGTAATCCATTGATTAGCAGAGCTGATTCTCCAGCACTCAGGTCTAGGGTTTCTGAAAACACCTACAAACATGGACAGAAAAAAATATATTGTAAATTTGTAGCTGTAACATTCTGTAAATACAAAGAATCTGGACGTGTTAAAGGACAAAGGAGGTCCAAATGGGCCAGTGATCAAGAAAAATATAAGGTTCACCTTTTGGTTGTCTTGTATCTCCTTCCTGACTTCATCTTGAACTTGGGTTCTTACCAGGGACCTGGGAACACAGAGAGGACAAGGTAAGTCCAACAGTAAGACATAAAGGAAAGATCCATTCTAGGTGAAGCCCTATGGAAAACTAAGACACCAGACTTTTACACAGTAGTCTTTGCTCATTTATTCCCTTTACAACCTTCATGTACATCTTGTTTTGCTTTGCTGTGAAGGCGTAATAAAAGCAGATTGATCATATATACATGTATATGCTGGTCACACTAAACTACATTACTTAATAAGACTGATAACACATTGCTATGATATTTTCAAATCTTGCATGACCCTACATACAGTGTAACATGTCATGACAGGTTCTTTCAAGAGGCGATTCTGTAACGTCAGTACCTGGCCTGAGTAGGGAAGTTCTGACTGACGTCCCTCATCACCCGCAGTGCATCCTGTGGAGCTGAGGACACAATACGCTGGGCGGCCTGGAAACTCAGATCCTGGATCTGCCACACCTTCAGAGGAGCCATCTCATTGGTGCTCTCGATCAGGTAGGAACGGAACGTCTTCAGTTTCTCCTTCAGATCTGGATACAGCTGTCTGGAAAACACAGTAGAGTAACCTTTAGGTTAGCAATCCTCCGTGTGTTGGTCACAAGGTTGGGGTATACAACTAACTATCACAGAAAGGAACCTGCTGTCATCAAATACAGTAGGGACCTCTTCACTGTATGAAAAACCACGTTTCCAAGAGTTTCCAGTCCCGCACACGCCCGTGAAATTCGCCGTGTCCTGGTCGCGTCCATGGATTTCCGGGCTCCGCGTGTACGGCCCCGGATATTTCCTTACACTCCCGGATTCGTGCTCGCCGTGCACGTGCACGGAAATTTACGCCCCGCACACTTGGCGTGTGTTGGGGAGCGGCTAACAATAAGGGGTAATTAGGTACTGCGTGTATTCATGTTTCAGGTGATAATTACTTGAACCAAAGTTGCCAGCACTTTAATCTAAGCAAATTAGATATAGAATGATCAAGGATTGTTAATACAACATTTAAACCTATGCGTCCTTGGCTTGATTTATCGTGATGTCGTCCATACGACAAAGCACATTTGAGCGTAGGGCGCCCCGACGCTGGGGTTATATGACCTACTCGGTCAAAATGACCTAAATCTACACTCCGGTCTAAATCTGAATTTTTTATTTTGGAAATAATAGTTTATCCGTGAGGTTCATTACCATGATGTAATCAAACGCTTGACTAAAGGGGTTTGAACTAACATGACCTGATCAGTTTGTTATGATTTTTAGGTACATGTATGGGTAATAATATGCAAGCTTTACATTGTAGTTCGGTCGATGTGTATTGCGATGTGTCTGACATGGCGTCCGTTTATGTGAATAGCCTTTGTGTAAACAAAAGAAGAACTCACAGCGTCCCCATGCCTGGTAAAATACTGAAATCCAGCAAAACAAGTCAACCCTCATGACAATAATTGTGGATTTTGGATACATTTACAAAGAGTAAGGTTATGTTGGGGTTGAAGTGCGGTTTTATTTCACTTAGTGAGCGACAAGTTGTGTAATTCTAGAACGAATAAAGCCATGTAATCATGACGAATTAGAATTATGAAGATCATTTGTCTGCCTTGAAATAAATACATTCACACAATCAGAAACATCCTATCATCCAAGTGTTCAGACTGCACAGGCGATTTAACTTAAAACCTATAATATAAAAACAAGATGGTTGTAGTATTGAACGCAATCACGTGATTATATGACTGACGACCAATCCTACCTCGCTCTCGCCGGGACCAGCCAATAAGAGACGCGATGCTTTGTTTTGGTGGGTCGTTTGAATCTTGCTTTGTCACAACGACGGTTTGCTTTTTCAAAACACGTTTGTCTCGGCCTGCAAAGATTACTAGTATGTTTCTGAACTAAAATGGCGTCAAACATTCCGTTCTGTTACTTCGTTTTCGCAACGGAAGAAATGACTCTACTACATTGAAAGGACAACACCGCAACGAACCAGCAAACCGACAGGAGGAAGGGTAAGCTAAAACAAGGATACTATTATATATACGGCACTATCGTTACATATATCTTAAACATGTTGTTTAAAAACCTTGGCTAAGTTGTGCCTACGGCAGAAATATTTATTTTGGCAAGAAGTGTACACTATTTTACTGATTAATAACATAGTTTATTATTCTACTTAGAAGTACATCGATATAGTTTGTATGTTGCTCAGAACATATGTACTTTTTCAGGCGTGGATTCGGGATACTTTGAGACGATTTGAAGAAACTTTATCGCCAGGCTGTCGGAGAGCTCAGAAAAGAAAGAAAGAAAAGCGACTGCAGTCACACAGAAGAGGGTGAGTCTATGCAAATGTATATCTTTGCATACGAAAGCCGACAAGGCTCTTGACAATTTGAATTGTTTTCATTACCGAGGGAAATGTTGTGTTTGTATTGTTCCCATGATTACAATGAAAAGAAACAAGCAGACGTTGATGCTTGATGAATGGAGCCTTTTCATCTGGAAAAAATTGTTGCTGTCTGACGTTAAAAACATTCGTTAAAAATGATAAATGACTTCTCCTCGAAATGTGTCCATACAGACGTCCGCATCTTTGCCAGGCTTGTTTATAAAACGTCTAGTACATGTACACGTAACCTCAAATGAAATTCAAAAATGCCTTCGACTTTTGACTTAGATTTTCGTTTTTCCATGTCCTGCAGGCCAGGCTGGAGGCAAACAGGCAGACTGCACACCCAGGCTCAGATCTAAAGGCGAGGGTGCTGTGTTAAAGCGCCCGGCAGGCTCCGACGACCCAGGCCGGCCCCGCTGCACTCCCGCCCGGGGTGCACCCCGCGCCCAGCACGCCGCTCCGGCCTGACTGCGATCACAACCGACACCAACACCACGCCATCCCGCAGACAGACATGGGGCAGTTTGTCCTTCCAGGATGAAAACATTTCGCTATGGTCCCCTGAAGCAAGGGGGGGGGCATACCTCCTGGCCTTCAATCTACAACTAAGCCTCATTTTGTACAGGCGACAACGCAAACTTTACGAAACCGACAGCTTGTCTTTAACGACATTGTAAATTGAATACGTGTTCATGTAATTAATTTCTGAGCAAATGATCTTTTTTTGTAATGACGTGATATTGTTTTCTGCCAGCCTCATTTAACTTCATGTTAGGTCTGCCATTATGTTTTTGCTACACGTACATGTATTTTGAAGAACTTTGTTTGAGGCCTTCTTTGTTTATTGAAAATTTAGTCTTTTGACTGTTTGTGTAAGCGCCATTCACTTTCATGATCTGAGGGCTATTTTACTCTTTTAACCTGATGATATGTCAGTATTAGTTACTTTTTGACATTTTTTGCTAAAATGGACTTCTATTTGGAGGTGACTGTGATGAGATGTGATGTTAGTTTACTTTTTAAAGTTAGAGAAATCTGTTAATTACTAGTAATTTCTGAGTTTACACCGGGTCCAACGATTTTAAAAGTCTAGTCCCTGGAAGGCTAGTTCGGGAAAAAGCTATTGTTTCTATGTTTAGGCTACACATTTTTGTAAAGTACCAGGTTACATTATTGTATAGTGTTAGCATAGTGCACAACGTGTATACACTATACATAGAGCGTTACTTTTGTCAGTCTGTAAATGGCGATCCTGTTTATACCAATAAAACGATGAATGAAGTATAAACATGTATTACTTTTTTTTATGAATGAAATGTGTTCCTAAAACATCGAAATGTGTCCCGGGAGCGGGGGAAGCGATTTCTCGGGAGCCGGGCAGCGAAGCCCCGGGAGCAGGAAGGGGGTCCCCGTAGTGGGTGCAGTGGGGTCCCGAGAACGGGAACAGCAGGGCCCCGGGAATGGGAGCAACGGGTCCCGGGAACGGGAGCAACCGGTCCCTGGGGTCCCGAGAACGGGAACAGCAGGGCCCCGGGAATGGGAGCAACGGGTCCCGGGAACGGGAGCAACCGGTCCCGAGAGCGGGGCGGGTTTTGGCCGGGGGGGGGGGTGTAGTACCGGCATGTCCGACCCGTACACGGCGAATTTCCGCTGCCGTGTGGAGAATAATTAGGTGATAATTGCCGCTAAATTATGCATATTCCAGCAACGCACGGAGCGGTGCACGGCCATTTCCTGCCGTGTACGGGGATGTACAGGGATCGTGTCCGGGCATATAACGTCCAGTACACGACCTGCACACAAAAAGTGGTTCATTTCCGGGAGTGTACAGGACATGTACGGGACTGGACACGTTTCGTGTGCAGGTCGGAAACCCCCGGGTTCTACCGGAAACCTAAAATATCCGGGAAAGTGTGCGGCAATTTCTCACACGGAAACTAGGGATTTTGTGCCGTGCTTCCTTTGACAACTTCAAATTAGCCGGAGTGTCAGCCTTTTTAGCTTTCCACCGGTAGTGGATCGTGGGGAGCAGATGAAAGCTAAAAAGGCTGATGCTCAGGCTAACTACAAATGTCTGGTAGAGTTACATGTAGATATGAATGATTTACGCCATACCTGCAAAGCTGGTGTGCTACACCAAATGGCAGTTGCATGTATGCCAAAGGGACCGATTCAGATTCAAGTCTACACATAGATTGTGGTTAGAAGATTACCAATACTGGTTATGCCATAAGTCAAATTTCTAGAATAAGTTATATTTTGCAGGTTGAGGTCTTTACAGCTCACCTGAGTTTCTTAAAGATGAAACCCTCTACTTCATCTTCACCTTCAGCCTCCACTTCCACACCCGGAGCATCACCTGGACAGGTGACAACAATGACCACAGGTGAGATTAATCATGGGAGACACATGCTACATGTTACTTTTGGATGTGCCAAAACGTTTGAACAAAAAGCACTGAAAACAAGCGCATTATTACAAACAGGTGATTGCAAGCAAAGACATGAACTTAGCCACAAACTTCCAGTTTCATCAGGTTGGTAGAGTATATAGGATACTGGAGCTTTCTTTTACATCACCAAGATTTCTCACCTAGGTGCTGACGTTTCGGTGTCTATCAGATACCTTCCTCAGAGCTTCTGACTGGAGTTCTGCTTCTTGCTGCTATACATGTATCACTCCAGTCAGAAGCTCTAAGGAAGGTGTATGATAGACACCAACACGTCAGCACTTAGGTGAGAAATCTTGGCGGTGTAAAAGAAAACTTCTGTAACTTAGCCACAAAGCAAAACAGTTTTGCAGGTAATCTGTGGGCATGTCCAATGAGAGTAAAATCACTTGCATACACGTCACTTGTAAGACCGAACCTAGAATATGCTGCGACAGTATGGGATCCATATACAAAGAAAGACAAAGACAAATTGGAAAGGGTACAGAATCAAGCTGCAAGATTCTGTATGAACAACTATGTAAGAGGTGCTAGTGTCACGGAAATGAAAAGAAACCTACAGTGGACCTCACTTGAAGACAGAAGAAAGATGTCTAGACTATGCATGATGTACAAAATGACTAATAAACTGGTGGATGTCCCAACTACTAAGTACCTAATACCAGCACAGAAGAGAACAAGAAATAGCCACGCATTCAAGTACCAGAGTTATCAACCAAGGATTGAGGTGTTCAAGAATTCATTCTTTCCTAGAACTATCGCAGAGTGAAACTCACTGTCACCAAGTACAGTGGGGGCACTGTCAATAGATAGCTTTAAACAATGTCTAGAGCTAGAAGTTCAAGGGTTAGGTGTAACAAGTCGATCGGTGTAATATAGCCGGCTGCCGCCGCGCCGCGTGCCTGCGAGGCTGGTGTGTTGCGCCGAGGGGCGGTTATACCGGCTATACAGATACAGATACAGATACAGTTTGAAAATCCATTCATACATGTGGCTTCTTAAAGGTATACTGAATGACTATGTAGACATATACATGTACCTTGTACTTTACTGTCGTCCACAGCCTTATACTCTGTACTCTTGATGGCCAGCTCCACTCCGTAACCTGACAGACGAACTTTCCTGTCTGGTCGCACCTGAGAAAGGTAATAAAAAATCATGCCTTTCAAAAGTTAAACTGTTAGGATATTAGTCAAACTAAAATACTACCTAAAGTACTAGTACTTACCTAGTACTTCCCAGTTGTTGTTTAATGAACAGACAGTCAGAATACACAATCCAACAGCTGGACTTAAAGACACCCATTGTCCATTTTCTTAAGAGTAATTTGACAGATTCTGACAAGTTTTTACATAGGGTAAAATTAAACTATGCTGATAAAATATCAACTCTTGTTACTATCAGCTTATATCCACATGTATAGCATTAGTTCAGAACATTCAGATTTGATATGAAACAGAGAAGGTACAGTATGCAAAATACAGTATGCTTTGAGGATTGTCATAACATTACAGTCTAATTTCAAACAGTCAGGACAAGGAAACCACTAACATCTTAAAAAACTGACCTTGATGTAGTGCCTTAAGACATAGTTGATGTCCCCCTTGTCTGCCATGTCTTGTAAGACGGAGTGGAAGTCCTTGAAGCCCTGAGTTCCCAGTTCTGCATACAGGATGACTACAGGTACGTCAGGCGAGGCACCGGGGTACTGGTGATCTACCTTGTACAGGTAAGGTCTTTGTCTGGGAGAAAGAACTTAGTATTACCATTTCTGGAAAGTTTGACAGTAAAAAAAAACCTAGTAATAGTTTTATAGGTTGAATATGAATCCATCTGAAAGAGATACATGTATCATTGTAGTAACATGGTTTCTTGATTTTTATTCATTTTCTAAGCCTGAACAGCAGCCACTAAAAATTTCCACTAGTACAGATATACTGCATTAGTATCTTTATTTTGGTCATAAAGTATTTTACAGTAAAGCAGGCCATTGCATGCACAGTAAAAGGTAGAGGAGTTTGACTTGAAATCGTTGAACACAGGATAACTACAGGTACATCAGGTGAGGCACCGGGGTACTGATGGTCTACCTTGTACAGGTATGGTCTTTGTCTGTGGGGTGGAAGATAGAAATTTACAAATTACATGACTACCTGGCCATTGATATACAGTCAAACCTGTACTAGTAACCACCTCTACAAACACATGTAAGGACAATTGACTCTTATTTTGTGGTATGACTAGCACCCTCTATAGTGACCACATGTCTATAGCGACTATCTGTGCTCAGGTCCCTTTCAGAGGCTGTTATACAAAACTTTCAGTTTATTTCTAATACCAAGTTGATAAACTTTGAAGAGATAGTTTAAAACATTTATATCTCTGTGTCTCTATTTTGATATCTTTTAAGTATAATTTCTGGAAATATTCAAGTGACAAAAGAATTTTTTTTTCCAACTGACCTTCCTGAAGCGCTGTCCACCATGCCCTTGACCTTGCTGGGGTCACAGGTCATCTCATTGTGCACATCTACAAAAGCAGGGCAGTCTGGGATAGATGGGAGGTCCTCTACCAACTGGTGGGAAGATAAAGAAGCTGGTAAGTCAGGGTTATTATTGACAATTATCATATAGCCGGGTGACGTTGACCAATCAGAAGGCTCCATTCCACATTCCTTATGTCGCCGTAATGTCACAAATAGAGTCAAAATCGGGTATTTATTCATCCCAATCCATACATTAAACAAACCCAGTAATCACCCGCATATGACCTCAGGTGACCCATATAGAACAACCGCTGTGTTCTAAAAAATCCAAAAATAACTTGAGTTTTGTTCCAAAGGAATACATGTTCCCTGCTGATGACCCAGATAGAACATGACCCCTTGCCGATGTTCCGGTGAACTCATATGAACCCAGTGGAACAGGTAAAACGATCACGCTGTAAGGGCATACAATGGACAACGCGATGTCAGAATTTTTCTTTGAAGAACTGACTGACGCCAATTTAGACTCAATATGCCGGTCCTTGGAGTAGGGGAAAGATGCACAGGTACAGTGGCTAGCGGACGGGAAGATAGGGGATTGACTGTAACGGGTTTTTTTACATAATTTAAGTTATGTATGTGTTCTACAGGAATGTGTCACTCTTTACTGTGTCATTTTGGATAGGCTATATGATAATAGCGTTAATGGCCCGCCCTTTCTCGGTGAATATGGTGTGATAAAGCCTTGGCAGTTGCTATAACCACCTCATAAAGCCACCTCGTTCGCTGCGCTCACGTCGGTGGCTTTATTCGGTGGTTATAGCAACTGCCAAGGCTTTATCACACCATATTCACCTCGGGGCGGGACATTAACCCTTAAATGAACAACTGATATCACAGTTCACATTCATTAATGATGACTACATTACCTTACATTTTGATCTACTTACACTAGAAAATACCCTGATTCTAGATGATGAGTGTGGTTGGTAAGGTGCAGCTCTATTTAAAATGGGACCATTTGTTTAGAATACCCACAGCAAGTACAGTAACCCATGACAGTATATACAAACAGATGCAAATTGAAGTCCAATTCTGCAGCCTGGAATCACACAAGCCAACTTGTAAGTTGTATCATTTCCATCTTATTGCTAGCTCTACACCAATGGCTTGTCACATCCTCTTTAAATAGTGTATCTGTGAAATATCGTTGTTTGTACTACTTACATGAGCAAACATCTCCACAGTGGGGGAGTGAGCCCGCAGAGCCAGTGTGAAGCGCAGCACTTTGACCTGAGCCTCAGACAGGAACCCTCGAGTCAGCTTCTGGATGTAATGGTGGTACGAGTGGTCTGACTCTGTGGGGAGAAGATTTTACAATTGAGATTCATTTTGATTAATTAAATCAGTGAACTACATGTAGAGCTGCCAGGCAGCAGAGGTTGGGGTAAACCAGGGAAATCCTGGATGGAGTGTGTCAAGAGGGACATTAGATAGTGCGGCCTTGCTGGTGTGAACCTGCTGGATAGGACCACTTGGAGGTGTGGTGTGAAGACTAGATAACTCAGCTGCCCACCTGTGTCAGGGACCCCTACAGTAGTATAATCAAAGAATGGATACTACTAGTACTACTACTACAAATACTAACTTGGTAGGTAACAGTATTTTATCTTATTATATAAGTGCATCAAACTTACATTACAATTAACATTCATTTAGGTCTCATATAACACAAGTGCATTTACTAAAAGTCTAAACATTATCAACAAAAACATATCATCAAGGATCATACAGCAGAACATTAATCATTGTCACATCAGAGAATGCCATCCTTAAACTAATGTTTATGTTGAGTCAAAAATAACCATTATTTTTCTACAGAGTAAATAAAGTAAAAGTTTCCTTACGCGATTTTATCTGCTCTGGGTCGACCTCTGCAACTTTGTTGGCAAAACCCCAGAATGCATCATTACTTTCCTGAGCAAGGAACTCACTGAAAAAGAAAAACAAAACATTTAGAGAGGCCAAAACATCCGGACAGTAATTACATACACATATAGCCAGCTGCCGCCGCGCCGCGTGCCTGCGAAGCTGGTGTGTTACGCCGAAAGGCGGTTATACCGGCTATACAGATACAGATATACCTAAAAGATTTTCCTAACACTTTTTATTCTATCTCATCAAAATAACTAATAAGCTTTGACTACCAGGAAGCATTTTTATCAATCTTCATGTACCCAAGTAGTATGTGTTTTTAACTGTAAAATTGAAAATGTCTTCAGAAAGTTGTCAGACAGAGCCAAGTAACATTACTTGAGGTTGAGATAACTGAGGCTGGCTTTTAAAGAATGAAAAATGACTTGGTCAAAAATCAACCACTGAAATTTTGAATTGTGAAGAAAAGAAAATCTTCAGAAATAATTATTTGTTAACTGTTACTCACCTGGCTTCCAGTAACAATGGAGTGTTCCTCCATTTTGCATCTAACGTGGCCACAATAGACTTGGATTTGGCTTCTGTTGTATGAAGAACCCCTGATAGAACTATCACCAGGAAAAACAACATGATGTGGTGGTGTCCTTGTTTTGTTACCTGTAAAAGAAAAAAAGTCAGATTTGTGATTATTCATTATTTATTAAGTGTTCTGTTTTGAAATTATGAGTATGCCATAGTTTTTTTCTATTTCTATTAATCTCCAAGCAGATCCTAGGGTAGCAAAAAGACAGTATCAAATTGATTAGGAGGTATCCATTGGCCAGAGAGGGTCCAACACGCCACCAACAAGGTGGGGGTAAGGACAAAAAAAAACGGACCATATATAAAAAGGTAACAATCTTCCCCCATCAACCTCTGCTTGGCGAGGTTCCATATGCTCCTTGTTAGTGGCAAAGTTGAAAACTAACAATGATTTGTGAATGCATGACCATGTAGCAAAGGAAACAAAACATAACAAATTCTATCCCATACAACATATTATGCAGTGAAAAAAGTGTGAAGTCTTCCTGTGCTAAAAATGAAAACATTTATAGACCTCAACACATGCACTATTAGCAGGTGTCATACAGCACACAGATGACACAGTCACAGGTGGTTCAGTTGTTTAGAACCCTGAGAAAAATAGACTGTTGGAACAGCTGGGCTGGGAAGGCCACTGATCTGCAATGTAGAAGTTTGACTATAGCTTAAGTCCATTGATACTTTGGTAAAATCATTGTGAAGGAAATTAAATGTTGTTGTTATTGTTTTATGTTTATTCCGCTAATTACGATAGACGTGGTTTCTAGCTGGGTTTCACTACGTACAAATACCAGTTCTTGATGGCTTGCTATAGGTTTTTATTAAAACCTTGGTGACTTACTAAGCATGCAATTCACCTTATTGCAGCAAAGCAGAATAGTGACATCATACGATAAAACAAAATCATATACTACGGTGTGAAATTGACATTAGGTTGGACCTCTAGCTCATGCTTTATTTTGAACGGTGCTTGAAAGTTGAAAGCAACCTCTAGCATTTATTAAGACATGTGTGGTGTCGATTTCCTACGTAAATTTATGTTATCCTTTTCGGCAACTACACCACATTACACACACTTATCCAAGTTCAATGTTATATATCAGAAATGTTCGACCTTTATATTGGGGGGGGGGCGAATCCGGAAGTCAATAAAATACAACATGGCAGCCGCGTGTCGGGCTGTGATTCGCCGGCTGGACGATCAGCTGTTTACCTCCGATTCTGGCGCGAATAGCGATAACCAAGCTATACAAGGCACAATTAAACATCTGTGAATCATGTACACGAGTTTTAGGCCTCTAGGAAAGATTTGTGGGCCTCATATCGGAGGAGAAAGGGCCTAAACTTACCGGTCGCCGGTATCTAGTACAGGAGGCTGCCATCTTGGATGCTGAGATCTCGCGGTCTCAGATCTCGCGAGACTTGACAGGAGCGGGAATTTCGAAAGTCGAACTTGAAGACAGGATGTCCCGAAAAAGTAGTTTGTTGCTTAAACTAGGCTCTAGAAGAGTAATGCTGACCAAAATGACCGCTCGGTGCAACGTTTATGAAGTTATATGAGTGGTAGGCTATACGTTTGCTTCTCAAATGCCTCTTCTCTACCCTTATAACTGCTAATATGTGAACCATACGAGCACACTAGTACATGTACTCCTAAAATTGCTCTCTCCTAACCCCCCTCCCCCCAGATTTGACATTCCTGTCAAAATTTTTAAATGATTGTACATTTACTTAGCCTTTAGGAATTGAGGATGAGATCCAATGCCAATTTGTTGTTTGTTAAGTTTTCCTACCTGCAGTTGTTGCTCATATTTCTTTTCTTTAATCTCTCATTAATTGCCAAATGTTGACTGTAAAGTTAATCCTTTGAATCCATTTTGTTTATGGCATTCTGTATAGTCTTGTAGCAACACAACTAACCTCAATTCTTCTATTTTGCAGTTATTTAGAAAAAAAGAGTCAATAGAGAACAAAAAAATGACAAATGCCATGTTTATACACCAACTACTTTAATATACAACAGAAATCTTTACATGGATTGTACTAGTAACTTACAGGTGCCAATATTCACATGCACCTATGTGTATATATTATATACAATGCCACAAGCACCTTCATATTCTGTGTTCTTCTGCTAGTACTTGACAATCCCTCTCAGACAACAAGAGCATACGCATCTTTAGTTAACATATGGCATGAAATATTAGGCACCCATCAACATCATCTATATATATATAGTATAAGTACCTAGAAGAGACAGCACCCTGATGCTACGACCAGTTCAAGGACATCAACAACAACAAGAAGGTATATAATATGTACATCTTATGTACAACATATCTACAACAAGTAATTATGTCAATTGAATATGTTGATACAAAGTTCTTCCCAAATATATACAAGAGGACTTTGTAAAAAAAAAACTAAGAAGAATCACTAAGTAAGGGGTAACAACCATTTTGTACTGCAATTTCTGCTCACTTGTACTAATTTCCTTATATAACACACACATAATTCTTAATTGTGACGTAATAGTCGTGTACAAAAGTGTACAGATAACTAGGCACACATTGCCCAGAAATGTAGTCCTACAACATGGGAATAGTGCTCCAGCATTATTGACATAATTGATTTATCATACAATTTAGGTTTGTCCAGCAATATGGATTTTGTCAAATATTATTTACTAGACACGTGAAGTATGACACCATAAAACTGGTAACGTTACATATAAAGCCAGCTGCCTATCAGTGTCAATGAAGGGCTCCTGCAATCCTTAGACTTGCATATATACATATTTATACTGGCCATGAACAGAAATGAGTTTGGTCAACAGATATCTTGTGCATTAATCCTGCTGCGGATGATAAGATGCAGATCTGCTCAAAGTCGAACGACCTCTCCAACTACTAGTACTACGCTCCAGACCTGATACGGTTTCTACCACGTCATAGTCGACTTCAGCCTCTCGCAGAACACGTTTCAAGTTCTCACGTGTTGCCTCCCACCCCTCCCGGTCTCTCCATGCTGTTAGCATCGCGAGGATCTGTTGGTCCGTGTTGTCGCGATGGTCAGCCTTGAACTTGTCCTTGTTTGCCTTGGTGAAACCCATGTCGATGGCGAGACTTTCCCACTCTGACCCCAACTTCTTGGCCACGCGCAAAAGCTGTTGGTCGGATAGTTCTGTCGCTGTGGATGGAGATTAGAAGAGATTAGTTACCATTGAAAGGTGGAAACCATGAAGTAATGGGAAAGCTGTAACAGTTACAGTATTTATATCACATAAGTTGCACATCAAGTTGCTGATATAAACGGGCATAAAACTAATGCGATGGAGCCCACGATAGGATACAATTTTGACTAAATAAAGACAGCATGCATGGCATGGGCATTTGTATTAGCTCACATCATACCAGGGTGTCTTCACTCATATTGGAGGAACCTCAAACAAACCTCCCCCACACCACACCACCCCCCACCCTCGACTGACTCCAGTCTTTTCTTAGTTATCGTGCATCACAGAGATGTTATGTGCAGAACTAAAACAGAATGGACACACCAAACAACAGAGCTGCATCATTTTTAAAACATACTATGATAGTATCACACATACCCAGTTCTGGCGGTGTTACATGCAAAAAAGGCACCCTTTCATCACAGCTTTTGCATATCACTTCTTTGGGTCCCCTGTGCCTCAGATGTACCCATTCCCCAGGAAATGATGGCATTTGACACTGGGGCCGGGGGCAGACAGCAGCCCGCTTATACAGGACACCTGTAGAAGGAAACATCAAATAACAATTTTACACAAAGGTGTTAACTATTCATGCATGAGATGTAATGTTGATGCACGTACGTACACAATGAAAGCCATAATCAACCATTTTGTTGGTAAGTCTGAGGAATTTGACTCACCTGGTACATGTATCATGATAACCAAACTATCATAGTCAGGACTGTAAATTCAATGTGGGTAAAACTGTTGGTCAAAGACAAGAGTACTTGGTACAGACTAATAAACGCTCACACCTGGCCACTGTTGCAGGAGTTCTTCAAACTCCCAACTTAAGTCTCCCATCGTCTCCCATAGATCATCAAGGAGGTCTTCTTCCACATAACGATGTGGGTCCTTGCTCTCTGGTCTAACACTCAGTGATACCGCCCTTCTTTCTGTGTCTTCACATTTTAGAAGCACAACTATCTTGTGCTTTTCGTGCTTACATAACGCACCAGTATTCCAATGTGAAACAAAGTGCAGGTTATGGTTTGGGTGGTGCGCTCTGACAGTCAGGCGAGCAAACAGACCAGGAGGGATGAAAGATGGGAACTGGTACTGAAGTGAAATGATGGGACTTCCCCCTGATTCCCATTGGGTCTTGTTTCCCATGTCTTCTGTTAGGTACCAAGGTAACAAAAGTCTCTCTGGTGTGGTGTGACTAACATCCTCCTCACAGTCAAGGTCATAACAAAGATCAAACTGTCGCATCAGTTCAATCAGCATATTGAAAATGTCATCGAATGTTTCCTGTCCACATTTCTCTTTAACTTCTGACCACAGACACCGCAGAAATTTGGTATCGAGCACTCCTTTCTTGATTAGGTCAGTCTTCATCTTCTGAAACACATCTGATGATATCTTGGCTTTTTTGTAACGATTATCAGACTCGTAATTAATTTCTTGTTCAAACTTATCCCGGATAACCATTTTGAAGATGTCTACCACCAGGGATGGCTTTAGAAACACATGATTTTTCAAGGACTCTATGTCTGAATACCACAAAATCTTGCCTGTGTCGTGTAGATATTGTGCAACAGTTTGGATTCGAGACTCGGGTTGCAGATTGGGTACATTCTGTTTTAGTAAAGCCGTGAACTCATCCCAAGTCATGTAGGGGAGGCTGAGCTCTTCCCCCTCTCTCTCCACACAAGCTTCAGCGTCTGCCCACGTTTTTGGCACGCGGCGACCAACCTCAGGAAAGTACTCTTTATTTACAGCATAGTTGAGGATCACTTGCTTTAAATACTGAATGCCCTCATGTGATTTGACTGAGCTGACAGGCACAGGTTCTGGATGTATTGTTGGCCTTTCCTTAAGACGAACTTCAGTTTGTTTCTTACTGTCTTTCAAAGCTTCCTTTGATTCTGAAGTTTCCATATCTGCCAGTTTTCCCTCGATTTCCTCTAATTGAGTCGTCAGATCATCTATACGCATATCTTCGTCGATTTTAAGCTTCTCGGCCAAATGTTTACATCTACGTTTGACCTCTTCAGGCGATAGTTTGTCAACATGAGTAACAACAGGAATGACAACTGGGTTTCCCACTTTAGCTATCAAATTTTTCATCCATTCACCACATGAAGAACTAAAACTAGCAGCAGAATCACACTTGTATTTCTCCAAGTTCACAACTAGGAGCATGAGAGCCTTTGCGCTTAAGAAGAATTGGTGAGTTATGTAGTATATTTCCTGACCAGCAAAGTCCCACATTGAAAATGTCATATCTGAAATACGTAGCTCTGTTATTTCTATACCAGGAGTTCTTTCCTCGGGTTTTGTTGGTTCAGACTCATTCGATTGGAACGCCCGAACAAGGCTGGTCTTCCCAGCGTTATATTTTCCCAATAACAGCGTTTTGAGACACTGCGTGATACTGCTGGCTGTTTTTAAGTCTTCGTAGAATGCCCGTATGTTCTCTATGCCAGCTTGACAGACCTGTAAGGGGGGATCAATGATGGGGTTGCCTTGCAGCTTTAGATCCACCATGACATCTTTGGGCATATCCATGATAGTCTCTGGGATTTCTTTAATATTGTTGTTACTTATGTTGACCTTCTTTATACTTTTCATTTGCATGAGAGCTTCTGGGAAATCTGTGAGACAATTTTCTTCCAAAGTGACCACTTCCACTCTGGATGATTCGTCCTTTCGGAGAGCGCTAACAGAACTGATCTGGTTGTTTGACGCATAAATCACTCTAAGGTTTGGAAGGCGAATCACATCAGACGGAATCAGAGTTAGCCTGTTGTGGGACACGTCTAGAAAAGAAAGACTTTGGCAACTTTGGACGTTTTCATTCACTGAGCTGATTTTGTTTTGCTTCAGGTCAAGCTTCCTCAACGAAGGCAGAAAACAAAGAACCGATGGCAGATGATCTAGTTCATTGTTACTCAGATCAATGTCACCTAAATTTTCAGACAGTTTGTTTCGATCCAAGTATATCATATCTGGAAGCTTTTCAATTTTGTTACTGCGAAGATATAATGCCTTCAAAGTTGGCATTAACAGTAGAGCTGCAGGTACCTCCCGAATCTCATTGTTACTGAAATTAATCTTCTCCAGTTTTGATTCTGTCGAAACCTTTGCCATGTCTAGTTCTGGTAATGTTTTGATATTATTGTTGCTAAGCAGTAATGTAGACACTGAAGGCATGTGGAAAAGGTCTTCTAGTTGCTCTTTTAACATTTCGTCACCGACGTCTCCTATCTTATTATATGAGAGGTCAACCTCCGAGAGGTCCTTTAGATCCTCTACACATCGGGGAATGTTTTGGAGAGCGTTATTTGAGAGGTTCAGAACTTTCAAAGGACTTGAATTCGTTTGCTTTTGTCCATTTGATGGCTCTAGCCACTTTGCTACTTTGTTGTTACTGCAATCAAAAGCTTCCAAGTTTTCCAATTGACAAATGGCGAATGGAATCTCTTCAATGTCATTGAAAGACACATCAAAACGTTGCAAACTGCTAAGCTCTGTCACAATATCTCCAATAACCCGTATCTTGTTATGGCTCACATTGAGGCTCTTTAGATTCTTTAGTTCCTTTAAACACTTTGGAACTTCTTCGAGCAAGTTAGTTGACAGGTTCAAAAGCGCCAACTTAAAAGGACCTGCCTTGGTTTGCTCCTCTGTAGCAGGTCGCTCTAGCCACCGTGTTATCTTGTTGTGTCTGCAAGAGAAACTCTCCAAACTTTCCATGTAAAGGATTTCATATGGAATCTCTTCGATTTCATTGAATGACACGTCAAATGTTTTCAGAGCCTCTGCCCCCGCAACATCCCCAAAGGCTGGTATTTTGTTATGGCTTAGATTGAGTCTCTTTAGACGAGGCATTGAGCGAAAAAGCCCTGTTGGCATTGTAGTCAGATTGTTATGACTTAGGTCAAGGGTTTCGAGGTCTTTCAGCCTTGCCAGAGAAGTAGGAATAGACTCTAACCTGCAATTTGACAACGTGAGAGACCGAATGGAAGTGCACCGGAATAAATTTGACAAACTCGCATCATCCAGGTTTATGCCATCTATTTTTACTTCTTCCAGTTGCGTGAATTGACCAATCTCCTCAAAGATCGTTAGAGAAGGATGTTTGCCACGGTTCTGTCTGAACACTATTTTCTTTGCTTGTTTATATGCACTGTACTGTTCTCGGTCGAAAAGGAATGTTGACCCATGGTTTTCAGTACAACCTTTTTCGATACAACTAGGGCATGGGGTGTATTGTTCTTTAGAACTGATTGTTGACTTGGCTGGCGGCCGTGGTAATGAGTCCTGACAGCCTTGTATAAGAGGCTGGCGGGACTCATCCTTTTCACCTGGGGTACACGTCACACTTGCGGAAGTGCGATTAGGTGAGCGTTCTTTTTTCGAATCGTCTTGTTGAGTCATGACTGTACGAAGTGGAGGGCCCTTGCGCTTTTTTCTACACCTTCTACATTTACTTTTCAGGCAGTTAAGGCAGATGATCACCGCAATTAAAATTACACAGAAAAGGTACCAACTTGCATACCCTCCATGGTCTTGTATGCTCGCCAATGTATCATCCAAAGCATTAGCCATTGCACTGTGCCAGTAATTTTGTCGGGGTGCGTTAATTGTAAAAATGGAATATAATGTACCAGTTATAAAGTTTGGAAATGAAGCACAAATTAGGAGGAAGGAGGCTTATGATATACTCAATGAGAGCAGGGAGTCATCTGCAATAAAACGAAGAATATAAAATCAGTATACGTATTGGCAGATGTTAGTCATAAGTCGTTAGAGAATATAAAAGGCATACCCAAAACCCAAAGAAGCAAACCGGATATTTGCGTTATGCTTGTAATGGCATGTCATGTTTACTCTATGTCTACATCAGCCCCAACTTCATCAAGAGTAAAACCATTCGTGAGATCACTTTTTGAAATGTGTCGGAGGAATGGCAATAAACTTACCTCAGTTAAGGAGGTAGCAACAAATCAGGCGGTTATACAAACGTTGCCAGGTGACTGCATACCTGGAAGATAAGTGTATCAAGCTGAACAATTATATGTCAATATATGTCATATATATATATATATATATATGTGTGTGTGTGTGTGTGTGTGTGTGTGTGTGTGTGTGTGTGTGTGAAAATTATATCTATATCTATTTATCTATATATATATATAGATAGATAGATAGATAGATAGATAGATAGATAGATATACATAAATTGATTAATTTGAATACACGTATCATAAGTGTCATTCATAGCCTCACTTGGGTTCTATATTTGCATTAGATACGCCCCCAAGAGGGTCCGAAGAGGAAACCATTGTAAACCAGACTTTGTACCTTGTTGTTTGATCAAGATCATGGCAACGTAAGAATTTACGAGCTTGTCTGGCGTATTGCCCCGGTGCTGTATATCAATGCCGGAAAACAAGATTGTGATCTGACAACTATGTTTGATCAAGTTTACACAAAAAGCAAAATGACTTGTTTGAACTTGCCTAAAGTTCTGTCTAAAGTTCTAAAGTACCCTGGCCCTGCATTGCAAATAAAATCACGAGAAAATATCAAGAAGATAGTATGAATAGATTGCATGCCCATGTTTAATCTTGATGATAATCTTCCATCTCAAAGTTTGAATATTTAGGAATTTAGTTAACATTCTTTCCTCCAACTAAACAGGTAAAATTTCACGCAACCTCCAGGAACTTATGTCGCCCGTCTACCACCGCTTCTGCATTGAGCGAAAAGATTTTGCCCTCACTCAAAATATCTCTGTCCCACCCTGGAACAATCCTACTCTGTAGCTATATTCTTCAACAAAGTATATCCCTTTCTTTGGCCCGATGTGAGAGTCGTCCACAGCCCGCCTAAAACGCGCCCCCGAAGTCAGGCGGCAAAACCGACATTCTGACGGCGACGCCCCTTCCCGCGCCGATTTTGACGGAGAGGTTCTATTTAAAAATATAAGGGGTTCAGCGTATTCGACACAGAACCGTCTAATATATTGACTAGATCTGCCTTAGATCTCTTTTTTTCACACAAATAAGGACAATGAATACTAGAAAGGTCTTACCAGGTGGCCATACGCATGTCTGGCCCGCTGCTAGAGTTAGAGAGCTTTCGACAGGACCAACTTCGCCCTTTCTCTTCACCAGCAGTGCCCCGCTCTCCGGCCACGGGACGTTTTATAGGTGCGCGCATGGATATGTTTGAAAAAATTAGTTCTCCATTCCTTGGAATTTTCATGCTGAAATAACAGTTAAAAACTTTGTGATGATAACTTGGTGTAAAATTAAATCTTGACTTGTATTTGATGATAAATAAGGAGTTAATTATGACTTCTTCGGAATTTATTGTACCATAGTTTAACGTGGAAGGATACTGTTACATGTGGTAACCGGTTAGTGACTAAAGAAAAGTCCCTTCAAGCTATATCAAGGGGATAACGTCATCACACCTGGGCACTGTCGGTAAATATTACCCCCAGCAATGGCTTGTGGCCTTGAAGTGTTTTTCAGGACCACACTGAGCTCTGGGTAACAAAATGTTGAAGAAATCATTACTCATCCAAGACTCAGTGCAAATGGAAGTTTCTCTCGGTTATCCTGTACTTGTTTACTCACAAAACAGAAATATTAATCTAAATAAAAAATTTTTAGGCACGCTGTGCACACAGCCTTGCAGTCGAAGGGGATTTACATGACGCTTTCTAAGGGACTTTTTGTGACGACTGTTCTTAATGTAACGCGCGTTTTCCCAGCTGACTAAGCAGCAAAAAATTCCCAAGATGTTGACCGACGGCCAAAGTCCTCACTTCCAACCGGCTAGCAATGTTACTGCAGCGTTAGCAAATAGTTTGGGCATGGTTACTAAAAGGACTTGATACACCTGGGGCAAGCAAAGGACTTCTGTTTACCGATGGTGGATACCTGTGTCACCATGTGACTTCGCAATATAAAGTTCTTAAATTTAGTTTACTGCCTCCAAAAAATGGTCTTTGAAGACACAATTTTGAAGCCACAATTGGTCTTTGAAGAAACTTTTGTAAGATGCTAATATTAGAGATCCAGCAAAACCATACATCATCGATCGATAAAGAGAGGAATGTGATATTAATCATTAAACATGACGTGTGCTCAAAGAACCTCACACACTCAAAAAGAACGATGCTTACCATTAAAATGCAATACTTAAAGAAAGCGAAATGAGGCAAAAATCGCTTAAAATCTACCATTGGCAATGACCTCGCAAGATCTATTTCTCTGTAACATCCTTTGAAAAAGTAGACAAATTTGCTTCAAGATAAAGTTATTTTAGACCAGTTTTTAACGGATGTTTTCAACAGTGCACGTTTACTTTGACCAAACAACAGAGATCCTTCTCCCCGCTATTGACTAAAGACCAAAGTACCAACTTTCACTATCGAGCTCCCATGACCAAAACACTACAACTTGGTCAAACATTAACGGCGGCATGGCTACTAGGAGTAGGACAAAAACAAGAGCCTGTGGCGTTTTTGCACACGAGCCAATGTCAAAAAAATGTTAGGTGCGTGCCTCACTGTTGTTCTTATACATAGTATTTTGTTTACGTCGTGCTCACCCTACAACTACTGGAGGGCGGCCAAACCAAGGCTAGACTCCCCCCGGGCTAGACTCCCCCGTAGCGGTAACTTAGACCGGCGGGCGAAGGGCTCTTGCCGCCCGAAAGACGAGTTCTAGCATCCAGGCCAATCCACAGATAAACAAGTTATCCTTCTAACAATAAAAAATGGAAAATGCCCCCTGCAGTGAAGTTTTTTGATTTTGGACTGTTACTTTAAGTTAAAAAAAAATGATTGTTACCAAAATTGTGCTTGCTGTAAATTGTAATAAGAGAAGATGTGATGAAAGGCAAGAATCAGAACAGGGCGAGATTTATTGTTGTTTTCGTTTGTTGATAAACTATGTCCTTTTATTCTATTTGCATCCTAACCTTTGTACTTCCACTGTTAGTATATTCCAAATCTATGCATCTTAATTTAGTCTTCTTCGGCCCTTCATGTATTTCATAGCGCATTTGCAATAAATTTAGGTCTCCAGTGGACGTCAACCATAAAGATTACTTGGTCTGGCCTTAAAATTTAGGGAATGACCTGAGCCTGAGGCATGTCCAACATTTCCTCCCCCAACAGCTGTTATAGGACTGCCCCTAAAGTTAGCTAAATTGTACTCTATTATCTACTAATTGATTCCAGATTGGAGGGCCAGCTGTCCCCATGCAGAGTTTGGTGGGGGAAAATCATTATACTAGTATATCTAACATAAAAGGTCCACTACAGCAACATAGGGACCGTTTTCGAATTTGATCTTGGCCTATACAATAGTAGTTTGACTACCAAAAATCATGAACATCTATTAAAATATACTCGAGTTATTTTGTTAACAAGCAACAAACACAAAAAGTGCGCTAACGTGACGTACGGACCCCCCACAAAGCCCAAACTTGCACTTGGCGTCAGTCTTTACAACGATAATCTGCCTGCCAAAAATCATGGACGTCGAATCATGCCTTCCAGAGTTATATCGATAAATCCGCAGTCACCCACACTCCGGCGAGACAAATCCATAATCTTCTTGACGAAGATAATAAGTTCGTTCCACTCCTGGTCCCATTTTATCTCATCAATCTTGGTCTTGGTGCTTGGTCATGCGTCCATGTGCCCTAATGTGACGTATTTAACAATCTCTGGCCAATGGATACTGCCTGGCCAATTTGCCTTGTCTTTTTGCCACCCTAGGATCTTCTTGGAGATTACGTGTGCCCTTTTAATTACCCGCTAACGTAGGTTGATGCAAACTGATATTATGAAATGTGACGTAGCGGTAAGTTCTCCTAGCTATAGTGAAGTGACTACATAACCTCACAATGTTAACCATCGTATTATATGCATCACTATTTGTTTACATTGTCATGATGCACATTCTGTTTTCTTTTCCTACTTACTAGTACTTTACATTCCCACTTTTAAAACAGCAAAGTTCATCTGCATCTTAAAATACATTTTGTATGACATAATGTAAATAATTACATGTATATATGATATATGTACAGCTTCGGTGATGTTTGTAAAGTATTGATGGCAATT